TTAGACGTATTTTGACGCAAGGAATCGATTCCCATAGTCCGTTTGAGTGTACCAGTCCATTTGTAGCGAATTTTAGGGGGTTTTCTCGATATTGGGAAACGATCCAGGTGTCTCACTGGATGCCTAAGCGTCTGAGGAGGACCGATTGGAAGTCATGAAAGTAAAGGTCTCTTCATGCCCTTTCGTTTCGAGAATTTCTCTAGCGCACTCTTTCTTCAAGTAAAAAATAAGGAAAGAAAAAAACACCAAAAACTGGGCTAAAATGTAAAAAATGTTGCATTTTCGTGGGAAAAAATATTTTTACAGCTCCTACAAGTGTTGTTTGATTATTGAACCTAAAACATAAACCAATTCTAGGGCATTTGAACATATTTTTCCCCTTTACCCGTTCATGCGGTATCGTATAACTTCAAAAGTGCGCGGAGTTCAACAGCCACCATCGCTCGTCCCTAAAAGCACGCACGGCGCGGCGCCTCTAGACAAACCAAGTATCGTCGCGTGACTCTGGTGAAACCACGTAAACGCTTTTTTTTGACGATTTTTTACGAACTATACTGTCAGGAATGCGGAGCAAGCGAACAGGGAACGATGTGTACTGGTCAAGGGTCATTGAGGACTGGGGCGAGAGGGCTGGGCCGTTGCCAACGGCAATACAACAGGAGGGCGCATGCGCGGGGAATGACAGAGTAGTACCAATATGGGCAGAGTGAACTTCCCTACAATACTTCAATAGTACGAAAATTTCTCAATCGGAATTGGTTTCAAATATCACCCCGAAATGGAGATATATCTCCACGTATACGTGGTTTCACAAGAGTCGCGCAACGATACTGATGGTTTCACGAGCGTCCACCTGGTACATCGAAAATTCGCCGAAGTCTTCACCATTGACCGACGACACTTTCTCGGCCACTTCAACGACGCCAATTTGACACTCGACCGACCATTTCTGAGTCCCTCTTCGACACAGTTGTCAATACTTCTAAAGTTGTTCTAGGAAGCGGGCTCCGGCAGGTTGGTAGCTTTATCTGCCACTCATCGGTCGCACATGAGTGCGCCCCATCTGAGTGTATATCTATGTCGGTCGGAGGCTCAGGACCCAGACGCCTCGCAGTTGGTAGCCGTGAAGTGTTTGCACCATGAGCCCGACGACGGCCACCCTGGCCCTGGTGGCCATCCTGGCCCTCCTCGCCCCCGGCCGGGCGCGCAACTTTGCCGCCCCCGCCGACGACAACGTCCCCGAGATGGTCACCGAGACCGACCCCAAGTACAAGATCCCCAAGAGCTTCCTCCTCGGTGCGGGCACGGGCGCGTACCAGTCGGAGGGCGCCTGGAACAAGGATGGTGAGTGCCAGGATCGGACGGCACACACGATGAATACTTTTCTGCAGTATCATTCATGAATAATATACTTTACTTAAGCGCATTTATCGCGTATTGGCTTGAGATTTTCTCTGGCCTCGAGGTAAGAAACGCTACAACCTTCCACCCTGTTCTTATCGGCAGGTAAGGGTGTGAGCGTGTTCGACTACCTGTTCCACAAGGAGAATTACCCCACCAACATGACGGGCGACATCGCCTGCAACTCGTACGAGCGCTACGAGGAGGACATCAAACTCGCCGCCCAGATGAACGTGAGCGAGGATTGTGACAGTTCCGTAACGTCAACGTCGTTGCGATATAGTGTCGACGGTAACTGACGAACCCTATATTTTCGGTTTTAGCTCGACGTCTTCCGCTTTTCCATTGCTTGGACAAGGATTTTCCCCAACGGCGACATTGCTGAAAAAAATGACAAAGGTGTTCAACACTATCACAACGTGATCAAGACAATTAAAGCAAACGGCATGATACCAATGGTAAGTCCCCGAGGCATCGCCTTAGATGATTCCCTTTTTCAGAAATTGTAAGTGAACCGGTTTTCCAGGTCACCATCTACCACTTCGACCACCCACAAGCTCTGGAGACGAAGTTCGGGGGCTGGCTAAGCGAGCAAATGATACAAGCCTACGTGGACTTCGCGGACTTTATTTTCTCTGAATACGGCAGCGAGGTATGAACGACACAACAAGCACTGTGAAAAATTGTCGTACCGGGTACAGAAAACTTTTCCATGCATATGTAGGATGTCGTACAATTGCAATTCGAAATTGTAAATATTACTTTACAAGAACTGCGTATCGACTTGGAATCGAAGGATGAGCAAGAGTGGGAGGTTGTACCTGATCGGCACATTTTGTAAATGGTAAATCGCAAAATGTATCGTGCATGTACGGTACGAACACATTTTTCACAGTGAGAGTATACAGCAGCATTTTTGTTGTTGCGTCACGACCAACAATCATTGCCCTCCCCTGCTTTTCGCAGATCAAGCACTGGGTGACGCTGAACGAGCCCAACACGCACTGCCTTTTGGTGTACAACGGCCTGTTCCCGCCGGGCAGCGCGAGCTCGAACTACGCCGCGGCCGACATGTACACGTGCATCCACCACGAGATCCTGGCGCACGCGACGGCCTACCGCCTGTACGAGCGGAAGTACAAGGAGCAGCAGGGCGGCGTCGTGGGCTTCGGGGCTTGCACCTTCTTCAGCCGGCCCAACAGCACCGAGTGGGACGACATCCTCGCCTCGGACCGCTCCAACATGTTCGACGTCGGCCTGCTGCTGCACCCGCTCGTCTTCGGCGACTACCCGGCCGTGGTCAAGGAGACCCTCAAGCTCGCTCACGGGGACGAGCCCTACCTGTCCGAGTTCACCGACGAGCAGAAGGAGATGCTGCGAGGTGAGGACGGCGATGACAGAGGCGTCGCGGCCAATCCATGCCGCCGCCGAAACCACCAAGTACCGGGTGCAACTGTTGAATACGCAGCAGTGTTGTGGAATTGCATATCTCAATATGGCCGGAGGGACCATGGCCCCTTACGGGTGAGAGGAGTAGGCAAACCCGCAACACTGCTGCGTATTCACAGTTACACCCGGTACTTTGTGCCGCTTTGTGCTACTCAAATCAACGCAAATTCGGATGACGATCTTTGAACCACTTCACTAGAAAACGCAAGTGTGTGAATGTCGCACACTGTGGATAGATGAACGCCCATTCGTACTCGTAAGAGGCTGTAACTGTGTGAATTTGTACGATTGTGTACGATTAACGTTCACACCTACAAGTGTGTGACATTCCGAGACTTGGGTTTCCGGTGTATCCCTTAATTGTTTCACTGTATGCATACAGCACCCTATGAGTGCGCCCGCCGTGCCACTGGACTGACGTTGTGTACGTCGCCTTTCCTGTCCTCGTAGGTGCCATCGACTTCGCGGCGATCAACGCCTACCACGGCTCGAAGGTCGCGGACCGCAGGAAGGGTGGACCCAACCAAGGCGCCGGAGGCCCGCCGGGGATCGTACGCCTATGGAACGACGCCAACGTCACCAGCGTGTTGGATGCCGGCGTCAGCAACGTCTTTGAAGAGGTGATCACTCGAGTGCCCCCAATGTCGCACTTTTGTATGCAAGTGCGTGAATCTCACACACTTGTAGGTGTAGGTGTGTGAACGCCATCCGTGCACATGGCACAGAGTGTGTGAATTTGAATGAGAATTCACACACCTACAAGTGTGTGACATTCATGCACTTTAATTTCCAGTAGCCCATATAGTAGTATCCCGTCCATCGCGACTATTTCACAATCGGTCCTGCGCAGATCACCGGATGGATTCTGCGCGACGTGTCCCTGTGGATCAGAGACAACTTCGGCCCTAAGCTGGGCATCTTCTTCACGGAGAACGGCATGGGCCTCTACAGCAGCTCGACGGACGACTGGGAGACGCGAGCCGTGTACCACAGCGTGAGAACTGGCGTGCCCTGTGGCATCATTCGTCTCTCTCTCTCTCTCTCTCTCTCTCTCTCTCTCTCTCTCTCTCTC